AAAGATACTGATATTCGGGGAAATAATAAAGCATTTTTTTCAACAGCAACACCTACATTATTTTTATAATGTCAGTACTGCTATCATTCACTTCTAAAAGTTCAGTTTTCTAATATTAATTTGAAAGTAATAGTTTAATGAATGTTCAAAATCATAGGGATTTTTTTTTAAAAAAATGAAACAAATCCTAAATGTAGCAATAAGATTTATACTTAACCTTTTCAGAGCAATAGGATTAATTTGGCATCTAAACTGAGAGAGGGATCTGCAAAGTTGATGAAAACAGTTTCAGTTTTGTTGGGTTGGACTATTCAATGATAAATATTTTAATTCCTCAATTATGTTTTTCTGGGATTGGCTGCATTGGGGCTATAATTATTAGTTCCCATAATCCTTGATGTCTTGGCTGTTTTGGCCAGAATCTTATGGTACAGTAACTGGAAAATACTTTGTCTGGTTTTGCAGTGTGTGTCTATGCCACTCAAAAGTCAATTTTTTCATTTCAGCTTAGAAACATTTTCCTCTGTAACTATTTCTGTGCCGGATTTTTAAAAAAACCTTATTTAAGTAGTTTTCACTTAATTATATAGTGTACAATTATCCTATAAATAACTTGAACATATGGAAAACTGTAATCGACACAGAAGAGCATAGTGCTATAAAAATTAAGTCATCTACAAACATTCAGAACTTATTAACGGCAAGTTTCCCTTTCCTATCATGTATTCTGTGTTGCTGAGGTACTGTGAAATTATAATGAAATCCTGCTGTGAAGGGGTTATCAAACACAAGGAGGAAAAGGTTTCACTGCTTTACAAAGGATTTGCTGTTAATTAGCTTTTGTATACATACACCGTCAACAGAAAAAGAAAGCTTGGTATTTGTAAAAGGTGATGCGAAAGAAGAAATGTGCTTTTGTTCAACTGGAAGAAAAGATGAAGAGCATTAATATCTGCAGACAGTTTTACCCAACCATTTCTCTGTGGGAAAGACTTGGCTAATTAGTTCCTGCTAGTTAAAAGGGGAAATGTGAAAATAAGGGGGACCATTATTTAGGGTATAAATCAATACATACATCTGATTAGACAAGGAAATATTAAAACATTGTTTCCTTATGCTGATTACATCTGCCACATTATGATTGCTTATCTACCAGAAAAAGAGAAATGGTTCCCTTTGTTTTATGGATTCTTTTGCTCTTAATTATACCTTGAATGCTTGCTGTGAAAGCTGAAATGTTGGCAATTCTTTTCAAAATACAGTCATGAATGAGCTCTTCAGATGGACTGCTTGGCTTTGAATACTGTACCACCTTCTGGCTCAAGATATTTCATCTGGTACACAAATGAAGTTCCAGGTGCTTACTATAACATACCAGGAAGGCAACTGGTGACGTATGACCTCTATAAATTTCACAGGACTGAGCCATGCCTAGGTAGCAGAAGATAAATGTTGCAAAAGGAGTACTGTGACAAAAGATCTCAGGTGGCAGAATGGGGATAGACTTTGGAGTGTGCCTGCTGGATAGAATAGTGTCTAATGGTCTCATAGGGCAGCCATTTTATATATTCATTGCATCAGCAATGACCGCCCTGGGCTGGCTGGCATGGAAGCTAAGCAGGACCAGCCAGATTAGCCCTCAAATTAGGAAGTCTCCAGGGAATCCCAGCGCTGAAGGCTATTCTGGGAAGTTGAAAATCATTCTGGAAGATGGCAAGGGCCAACCTCTCCCATCCTGTTGCCAAGGAAACAGCCCATGAAGTCACTACTAAGTGAGACTGTATATTTACTTTAAATATTCATCCCTCATTCATGGAGGAGGGTGGAAGAGAAATTATGGGTTTGCATTGGAGAACCTTACATAGTAGAAGTATCCCCCTCTTCTCCTTTTCTCTTTCTTCCACTATATTTCCCCCTTCAGAACCAAGCCTTGGTTCCCTCAGGTGAAAGAGTGGAAAGTATAAAATAGATTGCCTGAATTTCTGGCTTTAATCATGAGGCATCATTAGGCTTGCCATCACTTAATTGGTTTGGGCGGTTTATGGTAGGGTGCAACATGCTCGCTCTTCCATTATGGCAAAAGGTTCCAATATTTGGCATTATCAAGATTAGTAAGCTGCTTGTTTCCACATCTCTTGCTCTCCTTGTCTTACAGCACTGTACAAGGGGCTAGTGGGCTGATGAGTTAAGAGTGAAATATTGAGTTGATTCATTTCTGGACATTAAGGAAGCAATCATTATTAGACCTGTGGAGTGATTTGGATTAAAAAGAGGGAAAAGTGAAAAGGGCTGCTCATGTAGACCTCTTTAAAATTCTTTAAGGAAACAGCATTCTTCCTGGAGCTGCACAATTCCAGAAAATGATGAATTTGATTCAAGGAGATGCCGGTACGTATATACCCATACATATTCCAAATTACTTTTCTCCTTCAAATCCAGATTACTGCACAGCCCTAATCACTATTACTATCCATTTTGTTCAGTTTTATTGTCTCAGTTTGTCTTCTGGTTGCCCCAACTGGTAATATATACTGGGAGAAGGACAGGTGGAATGAACCTGGCAATTATCCCAAATCTTTGAGCTGCTTCCGGTATCACTGAACACAATGTCATTTAGGACCAGTTACCTACAGCTGGGATTGGGAGTGTTGTATTATCACTTGTAGATGGTAGTTCTGCAAACAATGTCTTTGCCTTATGACATTTACACTTATATTTTGAGCCACTTTAACATCTACCAAAAAGAATTCTAGGTAAAGTAATCTAAAATGAAGTGACTTCTATTACATTTCTCCTTTTCATTAAATTCAGATAAGATAAAGAAATGCTGAATATGTGTTTGAAATCAAGCATGGGCTATAGAAGAGACTGGGTATGCATTTTTGAGCTAAGACATGGACTGCAAAATTCAGAATAGTGTGCAGTGTGAAGGATAGATATGTGATGCTTTTGTGTGCTGGCATTCTGTTTGAAAATCCCAGCCTTCATTGCTACAGTATTCATTCAACTCAGTTTTTCATGTTTTTCAAACAATGAGTGATAATAAAGCTCATTCCCAGCACAGTTAAAAATGATCATTCATGAAATGACCATAATAAGTGCATGGCAAAAGCTTGGAACAGCTAGGTACGTGGGGAACACAACAATGAGCAAGCTAGAAGCCATCTGCCAACCTACCAAATTATTGCCAACTAATTCTGGCACAGCCTCCATTCCTCTCTTCTTTTCTCTTGGCATGTGCTTCCCATGCTGGTTTTAGAGCTGATGAGCCCATTCTCTGACAGTTGTTCTGTGAGAGGGAATTCTTTACTGGCAAAACCTGGGGCACATCTGGCTCCTTAGTATTGATAGATAATTAGGAGATTATTCCTCTACATGTTCTCCTTCTTCTGTTCCAAGTCTATATGTTAGCATGGATCAGTGTACAATTCTTCTGAGTTTACAAGCGATATCTATCTATCTATCTATCTATCTATCTATCTATCTATCTATCTATCTATCTATCTATCTATGGACAACATAGGGGTAGGACTTTGTGGGATCCTCCTTTTAAATATGGATACTAAAATCATCAATCTAATTCTCAGTCAGAAATATCAACTTTTTGGTCAATTTAGTAAGCTCCTAGCCTGATTCTATGCTCAGAAGTAAGCCATAACGTGTTCGGTAGGATGTACTCCTTTGCAGAGATCTGCAAGCCTAAGCAATTGCTATAATTATGTATTTGTGCCGGGGGAAACTATTGAATGGAACAATGTCCTAGAGCTGAAATGCGTTTGTTTCTGTTCCTGGATCGAATAATCTTGTACCCAGTCTTCTATAATGTATGTATTGCTGAACAAAGTTTCTGGGTAGGCACAGGAATAGTTAGTTATTGGGCTGAAATAAATATATTATAACAATGCCTGACTATATATGGCTTTCTGCTGATACACAATAGTTTGGTTAATGTATAATCTAGCCTCAGGATTAAAATGTGTTATAGAATGCGCATTTGTGTTTTTACTCAAAATTGTACACTGTAGTATGAGTCAACAAACACCTCTACAAGAATCATCAGATAAATAAACTGAATTCTTCAATATTTCAGAAACAACTATTTCTGTAAGAGACAACTATATCTAAATACAAGTGATAAAAAACTAGGTACTACATTTTACAAGGTGATATTGATCTAAAGAAAAGGAAACTTAACAGACTTAAGGTTAGTGCAGAATATTTGAGGCAGAAAATCATATTAACCAGTTTGATTAGTTTGGGACATATAACAAGAAAGGATCCATTACATTTTTCAGTTTAACTTGCTACTTTAGAATAATATTAACTGACTTGCCTGAAGTGAGGAATATTTTTTTTTTTTTTTTTTTTGGTGCCTTCAACTCAGTGTTGACTCCTGGCAACTACCTGGACAAGTCCCTGCAGTTTTCTTGACAAGGTTTTTTGGAAGTGGTTTACCATTGCCTCCTTCCCAGGGCTGAGAGAGAGTGACTGGCCCAAGATCTCCCAGTTGGCTTTGTGCCTAAGGCAGGACTAGAACTCACCGTCTCCCAGTTTCTAGCCTGGTGCCTTAACCACTACACCAAACTGGCTCTCATGAGGAATACTTATAAGTAAATTTATATTGGTGCTGTTGCAACACGATTTGTTCCACCCTCCTCCCATACAGGGTAGTGTAGTTTGTTACACAGGCTATAGAATCTCTAAAGCACTCTAGGCTGCCTTACACAACCTCCATTTAAGTCTCCAGTGAAAGTACATTCTCAATATTCAAATATGAAAAGAATCACGAAAGTATGTGGCAACTGCAATCTTATGTTCGAGGATGCATGCTTAATTTCATTTAATTCAGTAAGCGTGAATTGTATAGAAAGTAGCCTAAAAGGACTTGAGTTCACGCATACAAATCTAGGGTCCCACTCATCAAACTGGGTAATGTGATTTTCCTGCTCCTTACAAACAAAGAACAAAAAAGAACCAAAAGTTGGGATGGTTGATGTTACCTAGCGTGCTGTAGTAATGTGGACTGGCGTGTCCACGGATAGTAAATGCAGTCATGACTAGTGGGGCCTCTACACCTGCAGGCAATTACAGAACAGAAAAGATCATTCACCATTCACAGGGGCCATGCACACACAAGCACCTTTGCGCACACATGGAACATGTGAGGTGTGGCAAGAGGAGCAAGTGCTCAGCAAGTACCTATCCATGAAACCAATGCAGTCCTCAAGGCGTGGGCCTATGCACCTGCAGCCAATCCAGATGAAGGTGGGGAAGGGAGAAGAGAGACAGAGAAAACATGCATTAGGCATTTTATAGGTAGAATCATCATCATCATCATCATCATCATCACCATCATCACCGTCGTCATCATCCCTCCATTTTCTCTTGCTCCAAAATAGTTGATTACAATATTCCATCACTCAGTCATCATGAACCCACTGCTGCAAATGTTTTTCAGTTCAAAATACATTGTGTTATTCTCTGCTGTTTGTAAAATTGCAAGGCTGAATCACTCTGGATATGTATTGTGATTCTTGAGCTACTTACCTCAGGACAGATAATAGCAGATATGCGTAAAAATGACTAGAGACAAGTTTTACCTGCCAAGGCGAGGACCTACATGGTTCCTTAATGCAACAGACTGATAAATTCAATCATAAGTGACTATAGTAGGGTTGTGGGTTAAAAGACAACAATTAACATTTTCTCTCTTTCAAGGGGCATAACTACCATTCAAATATTCTGCTTCTGTCAGGGCTGGATGAAAAGTAATTATGTTCATCCAGTGTGTGTATTTATTAATTGACCAAATGATTAACTGATCAAATTTAGAAGGCTACCCAACTGCATTAGGTACTCTGTGCAGCATACAACATTAACAAATAGCAAGAAACAATATAACAAAGAAAAACTGTGTGTCAGGAAGAATAAAACCATCAGACTAACATGTAAAACCATATCAGAGGCTCACCACTCACCCTAACCCAAGGCCAGGTTTTTAAACACTTTTTCAACATGGTCCAGGTAAGGCCCATATGAATCTATAGGGGATGCTGTTCCAGAGGGCAGATGCTGAAACAGAGAAGGCCCATTTCCTGGGCCTCGTCAGCTGGCATTGTTTAATCAGTGGGATGCAGAGCATGCCAACTCTGTTGGATTGTACAGGACAGGCAGAAATGATCAGAGATAGGTAGTCACCAGAGATCCAGGTTCTGTGCCATGAAGGGCTTTATTTGCAGTAACCAGGAACTTGAATTGCATCTGGAAGCTAACTGGTAACCAGTGCAGTTCACAGAGCCACAGTGTTACGCATGCATACCATGCCACAGCCATCGCTGCCCGCATTGCTGCATGCTGGACCAGCTGTAGCTTCCAAGAGATCTTCAAGGGTAGCCCCATGTACGACACATTGCAACAGTCCAAACATGAAGCGACTAAGGCATGAATGAAACACAGACTCCTCTTCATCATCACATTCAGCACAAAAACGTCATCAGGAATTCCTTCCCCTCTCTTGAAATCTAAAATGCCCTGATGAAAGCAAGTGTTCTCAGTTAAGTTTTCAGGGAATCCTAGCATCCTAACAAACATTTGCCTTGAGTATTCAAGGCACGGGTGCCAAGCCTGCCAGTCCGTTTTTATAGGTCAAATATCTACTTGGAGATCTCTTTGCAGGGCTGGCAGGGAATGATGTGGTAGTGGCACTCTGCATTTTCTGAACAGTTTTTTTTTTTAAATACAATTTCATTCCAGTAGTCAAGCTATTACAGAGAATTAAAGATTATATAGAGAAGCATTTTGATTTTTTACCACCATTCCTATTCTGAATCAAGCCAGACACCCCATGTCAGTCACTGCTTCCATTTTTTCTTAAAAAAACATGAAGGAGCATTATAAATTAGAAAATAAAAAGGAAGTAAATTAATTTATTCAGGTCATAGATCACTAAATCCCTGACAGTCTTGGCAGGGAGAGGAATAAGACAAAAAATCCCAACATCTCAGATACTCATTATGACTACTTAAAGTCCCCCCATCATCACCAAATGACAGACTGACACATTTTAAAGGAGCGTGTGTGTGTTTGTAAGAATAGCTGAAAAAAGAGTAGTCACACTTTTATTTTGCGTAGCTACTGTTATTAATACAGGTAGGTAATTTTTAATTACGCTTCCAGCCTGTTTTGAACAATGGCAAAATAATATGTTTGTTTCATGTTTACTAATATAAAGATCAGAAAGTTATTAGGAATCACATTTGGTTTATCCAAACCCAAACTGTTTGCTTCAGGAGACAATTTTGCTGGTGTTTTACAGTAGGTGCTTAGCAGAGACAATTGACAAAATTCATTTTTTCATAGCTTGGTAGCTTGGCAACCTTCCAAAATGTGTGTGTAATTTTTTTAGGAAGGGCTATCGGAATAAAATGTCTGTAAGAGAAACATCAGAGGCTTGGTTCCACACAGTATATATGTATCACTGCCCAGGTGCATTCATTTCATTCACCACGGCTTCCAGAAATTTCAGCAGAAAGACGCCACAGGACAATGTACTGATGAATAAGATATTTGCCTGGAACAATTTTCTTCCTTGTCTATCTGAACCGTATAAGCTGTATTCAAACTCACCAATGGGTTTAAGCCAGTATTTTTATTGCCCCTATCTTTAACAATCAATACATAGACATATACTAAGTAAAGAATTTCCCCCTCCTATTACAATGACAGAAGGGTGCAAAAAATTCCAATTGTTACATTTCTATATTTTCAGCTATTTTTAAAGGTTCAAAAAGAGAACTAATATCATTTCAGGACCTTATATTTCAAACTGTATAAGTAAAGTTTTCATGAGACTCTGTTGAATGTAGTATTTAATCTGAGCTATACAAACTATCTTCCATTATTAAGCCCCTCTGAAATGTCTTTTCTTCTTCCCAATAGTAATCCTTTTTTTTTTTTTTTTTTTACTATATAACCCAGATTTTAAAGGGCCAAATAGAAGATACCTCTACCACAAATTCTGGGATGTCTTTGCAATCTTAGTTTCATTTCCCTAAAAGCTCTGTTGTAATTAGATCTGCAAAACCAGCAAAAGGTCTCATTTTGAATGGCAACAGCTGTTGACATCAACATTTCATTGAATTATTTACTGCTTTAATTTTAGCAGCAAAACAATAAAGGCCTCTTATGAATTATTATTTTACAGAATTAATTTGTTGTTTGTCTCTTGGTTTTGGTTAGAGATTGCCCAACAGTCTCATTGCAAAGTAACTCAAGTGGCCCATATTAAATGTTCAAAGTCACCTGACTTAAGCTGCTGCAATGCTAAGCTTCACTTATTGTAATGAGAAAAACTCTTCTCTGCATTTGAAAATGCTCTTCTCCAGAACCTGGCTCTATGTTCTGTACTGTTGCCAAGATAACAGCATGGGCACGTCCGTGAAATCACCAGGAGTCAAGCTTGAATTGAAGAAGACATTTTTATATACCAAGTGCACCATGGCAGAACAGGTTCTGATGGTTGAGAACTTTGTAGGAGGTGTGGTGAGGTAAAAATCAAGTTACTAGTTTTCTTTCTCTGATAACTTTTTATTTTTGCTTTGTGCTTAAGGTTCCCTAAAGAAAGGAAGATTCCCAACTAAAAAAAATGTTTACAATGGACAAGAGTGTTTACAAAGAAGAAAAGCTTCCAGAGAATACAAGAGACTACAACTCCTCTAGCTTTCTTGACCTGTACTTTGAAAAAGAATTCACAATAGTCAGAACTTGCAGGTCATTTTCAGGACTGTTTTAGAAAGGTTCTGACTTCCAGTGAAATCAAAGCACACTTCTAAGCATTACACTAACACTGACTGAATTATTTGTGTGGCATTTTCTAATCAACACATTTGGCTGATACCCGGATCAAATTCAGCAAGTCTAGTAGTGTTTTTTAAAAAATGATTCATTCAGAAAGTACTCTTACAAAAGGGCTTGGTTCTTCAAGCATCATCATTATCCTTTGAAATGTATTCCATTGAAGTCTTCTGGAAAAGGGTACTTTGTTTTAAATAGTGTCTCATGACATCTGCTCTGTGAACATTAATGCCAAAACATGGTAATCAGAACCAAGGAGAAGGATCTTAAATAAATATGAATGAGATCCTGTATCTGTGCCAACTTTCATCATAAGGAGCATTGGGAATGCTTCCGCACAAGGGGCATTCACAGAAAACAAGAGCCATTTTAATAGATTTAGGAGAAAAGTGTTAAACACAAGTCATGTATCATAAGAACTGAAGCGGAAATGTAATCACAGATGCCTAAAAGCAAAACCTTTGCAGATTATGTTGGTTGCCAGATATAATGGTTTTCTATTTTGGTGACACTTTATTCAATTAATATGGTGCTGTAGCTGAAGGAAAAAATAATACAGGTATAGATATTTCATTGTCTTTATAAAGACATTCTAACCAGCACTAATTAGACTTTCCTAACTGTAGGAATTAGAATTAGCTGATCATGTAGAAGTAGTAGGAAAACTGGGGGAAGGTAACGATGTAACACTGGAGTTCTTGATGTTAAGAGAAACTAAAACTGAAGATATTCAAACATGTATCTTGGACTTTAAAAAAGGGTGAGAATTAAAAAACACAGCAATATAATGCATGGTAGGAGAAGTTAGAGAAGAGGATTGATGAGAATCATAAAGAAAGTTCAAGCTTTTTGGAAAATATACCTCTTAAAAAGGAGATATTAAAAGCAGAATTGAAAATAATTCTAGTGAACAGAAAAATGAAGGAAAGCAAAACCAGTGTGGCTAAATAAAAAGCTTAGTGAAGATCTGAAAACCACATACAGGAAAAGGAAGAAGTGCCAGGTTGTGATGGAAGACCATAGACAGATCACCTGACACTGTAGCGCTGGTGTCAGGAAACCATTGGCAAAAAGGGCTTTGGGGATATATTCAGAAGGAAAGGAAAAGAAAAGGATCAATATATTGGCTGCTCAACGAAAACAGCAAAATGCTAATACAGCAAATATCACAGGAAAGGCAGAGATACTCAATATTTACTCTTCTCTTCTTCTTTTAATCTGGTCTAACAATCAAAACTCTTCTTCTTTCAGTCTGGTCTAACAAACCTAGGTGTTCTGTTAGGAAACTGTGAAGAGCAGGATGACAGGGAAACATTGAACCTTGAGACTTTTAACCATGTTCATGTACCCTATCTTTACTTTGAATTAGTTTAAGACCAGATGGATTGCATCCTAAAATACTGAAAGAACTGGCTGATGGTGTGGCTACACCCTTATATATTTTCCCCAAATAATTCTGGAGAACTGACAAATTGCCAAATGACTGGAGGAGAGCAAATGTTGTCCTTATCTTCAAAAAGTGATAAAGATTCAGCAAACTACAGACTCCGTCAGTCTGGCATCCAGACTTAGGAAGATTCTGGAGTGGATAATAAAAAGACTAATATGGAAGCACCTTGAACACAGTGTAGTAATTACCAGAGGTCTGCATGAATTTTGTCAATTTGTCAAGGGAGCAAGCGAAGCTGCTGCTGCCACTGCTGTTCCAAAGCTTACAGTCCTTGGGGATTTTAACTTGCCACTGGGGCAGCACTGAGACTGGGGCTGCTCAGGACTTCAGCAAAATATTTGACAAAGTACTCCATGACATGTTTATTATCCACTGTGGATTGGATGGCATCACAACTATGTGGATTAAAAACTGGCTTGAAAATTATGCTCATGGAACATTCATTGATAATTCCTCTTCAAATTGGAAAGAGTGACTGAATGGGGTGCTTCAATGAGCAGTCCTGGTTCATCTACTCTTCAACATTTTCATTAATGATTTGGATGAATAGGTGGAGGGAATGCTCATCAAATTTGTAGGTAATACAAAACTGGTGGATGATATATTGGAAAACTGGGCTGATGGTAACAGAATTAAATTTAACAGGGATAAGTACAAAGTTTTTCACTTATGAAACAAAAATCAAATGCACAGCTATTGGATTGGGAATACTTGGTAACAGTACATGTTAAAAAGTTCTTGGAATAGCACTTGATTGCAAATTTAATAGGAGCCAAAACTATGAACTGGCTCCAAAGCACACACATTTATTTTAGGCTACATTAACAGAAATATAATTTCCAATTCATGGGAAATCATTCCACTCTATTCTGCTTTGATCAGACCTCACCTTATATCCAGGTGTCAGAAAGATTCATAGAAATCCTTTTTAAACCAATTCAGAGGAAGTTGACTGGAGTACTAGAAATGCGTTTAACGGTTCCTTCCAAATTGGAGCTTCTATTTTTTATGGATTAATTTCTACTTACTATTTATATATCATAGTTGATGTGTGGAATCCAATTAAGAGGTTTTGCTAGTATTAGCAAAAAGAGGGGGGTAATTTTCTCTCCCTCTTAACACTAACCTCAGCCTCCAAATCTTGAGGTTTGACAATACAATAGGATGGAAGAGAAGGTATCCCTGTGCCAGCTGACTTCCTTTGGTGCCACACTGAATTAGGCCTGGTTTGCATTGCATTTTATGCTAACATAAGCAAAAACAGAAATTCAGTCCATTTACCTCTTTAAAATCCTCTATTCCAGTGTTTCTCAATCTTGGCAACTTTAAGACATGTGGACTTCAACTCCCAGAAATCTTCCGCCACCCCGGTGGCTGTACAATTTTTGGGGGGTAGGGTCTCCAGGCCTTAATGTGTCTAAATATAGAAACACCTCTCTATACTAT